AGGTTGGACTTTTTAAATGCTGCGCCCAAAATTGTAGGAACCATTATGCCATTTGATAGAAGGTGAATAGCCTTGATACGTATTTATGTAAAGAAGATACCATATTCGGCAGTAAATATTCGGAAAAAAAGATTCAGTTATTCTGTGATGATAAGGACTTGCCTAAGTTTTCAGTTATCTTGGGATACACAAGCAACAAAAATTATTAAATCTAAGTACAATTAGATTAAGTATAAAATATTTTAAAAGAATTCTTATAACTAATTTGGAAGTTAATATCGAATAGTATGAAACAATTTTTTAATACAAACAAGGAATTGGAAAAGAAAAGTATATGTCGTTCAACACTCATCAAGAGAAGAAAAAAGAAGGCACGTTGTCAGGTGCCCGGCTAGCTCAGTCGGTAGAGCATGGGACTCTTAATCCCAGGGTCGTGGGTTCGAGCCCCACGTTGGGCGTACTTAGCTGTTTTATTAAAGGATTCTACTTCCCCTTAAATGTTTTGAGGTTTCTCTGCAACATTATAACTACGAAGAGTTTTTTAAACCAGATTAATTTAGATACTTTCAATATTAACCAGATCTCTGGAAAAAAGGCCATTTTGCAAACTAAACAGGTCTCAAACTGCGCTTGCGCGCTTTAGAATCACTCGTTCCTCTTCCTTTCCGCGATCCCTCCCTCCATCCCCACCGCCTCCTAAAGCACAGAGGAAACTGAAAGGCCACTGTTTAAAGTTGAAACTGATTTTTGTGTGTTACTGTATACTTGCAAAACTGCTGATAGAGGGAGGCTTTTTATTTTATCATAAGCCTCGGTTTTGGCAGCTTTTATAAAACTTCCGCGATCCGATGTAAAAACAGAGAGGAGAAGGACTTCGAAGAGAATGTGCCTTCCTTTCTTGTTTATTTTACTTTTTCTTCTTCTCAATATAAGGCTTGTCCTGGGGTAGGGGTGGGGGGAATGACCTCCGGAGAAATAGTGAGAAATGTTTCTTTCTGTGGTCAGATGTAGACAACCAGGGTGGAATCAGGTTTAATTCCATTGTTCCTGGGACTATATTTGGCAGCTATCCATCCAACTGGATAGATATTAGGAAGTCAATATTCTGGTAAAGATGAGGCGCTTTGAAACAGAAGCACGAAAGAACCGAGATGTGAAATTTGGTTTGGGCAATTAGATATTGTAGGAGACAGGACTTCCGCCTTTCTCCTTTCTTCACTGACAACTTTGGAGTAATCTGAAAAAGAACGTCTAAACCACAGCCAAGCACGTTCCAGACTCTCACTCCCGGGACCGTGTAGGTGAGCAATGCTAGCTAGCTCTTACCTAAAGTACTAGTTGTGTACTCAGAGTGTTACCTACTACCTTCCCTCCTACTAAATAAATGACCAATTTTCTCTCGGTTTTTGCCTTCAACGTACAAATATGTTATTTCTCTATTTTAAAACAAAACAAAACAAAACCTTTGACCTAGTTTCCCTGCAGGCTACCATTGTGTTTCTTTTTCCTCTTTGGAGCAAATTACCTCACAGTCGCCTAGGCTCAGGATTCCTCTCCTCCCATCTCTTGATCCTGACAATGCCCTGCAGCCAAAGACCAAAAAACACCTGTGGTTGAACAAGTTTGGCTTACTACTCCTTGCAGCAAGGGTGACCTGGAGTGTCTCAGGAAGAGTGTTAGAAACTATTTTAGGATTTGGGCTTTAATTGAGTAATTTTGGGAAGGGTCTAAGGAAGTAGGGGTTCCTTCTGGGTTAGGTGTTCTCAGAAAGCCAGAGCAATCCTATGATCTTAATAAATCTTATCTATAGGGAAAGCAGACTAAAGGAGGGATAAACTTGAAACAGGCAAAAATCACTCATTTAGCTAAGAGAGGATGATATTTGGTGTTTTGAGCTAGACACTGACCGACTTGTCTAAATGTTGTCAGAATGCCAATGACAAGTCCAGGCCTCTCCACTTCTGACCAACCCACTGTAGATCAGGGGTTCTCACAATCCTCTCCTCAGGTTTGATAATTTCCTAGAATAGCTCATAGAACTCAGGAAAACTACTTATTCTTGGTTTATTAAAAAGGATACAAATCTGGAATAGCCAAATAGGAGGCACACAAGGCAAGGTATGGGAAAGGAGCACGGAACTTCCATGTCCTCTTTGGCATGCCACTCTCCCAGCACTGAGTATGGTCACCATCCTGGAAGCTCTGTGAATTCTGTAGTTTAGGGATTTTTAAGTAGGCTTCATCACACAGGCATGATTATTGACTCAATTTCCAACTCCTCTCCTCTTGAGGATGGGGCTGAAAGTTCTATTTCTAATCATGGCTTAAGACTTTCTGGTGACCACCCCGATCCTGAAGCCATTCAGGAGCCCACCGAGTTGCCTCATTAGAATAAAAGACACTTGTATTACCCCAAAAATTCCAAGGGATTTAGAAAGATATAAAATGCTCCTAACACCTCCATCACTAAGGAATTTACAAGGGTTTTAAGGAGCTTTGTGACAGGAACTGAGGGCAGAGACCAAATATATATTTATTGTTATGCTTGCCTAATTTGTCTTTGAGTAACTAAGAAATGAGCCCAATCCCAGTCACCCTATTCTAACTCGCAACTACCCCACCATCCACTTTATCCCACACTATTTCTTCCACAGAGGGTATCACCTTTTAACTTCTCTCTCTTCACTTTCTCCCACACCCTTGGAATGTAGGTCCACAAAGGTGAGATTTTTCTCTTTGCTCACTAAGGTACCTGAAGCACCTAAATCAGTATTTGGCAGATGTTCAGTAACTATGTGTTGAACTAGTGAATTGAAAAAGGTGTATTCCCAGGACTGCCATAACAAACTACCCCAATCTAGGTAGCTTCAAAGAACAGAAAAGTAGTCTCACAATTCTGGAGGCTAGAAGCTTGAAACAAGTTGTAGGCAGAGTCATGCTCTCAAAGGCTCTCTTGAAGAGTTTATTCTTTGCTTCTTTACCTTTCTGGTGTCATCAGCAACCCTTGGTGTTCTTTGGTTTGCAGGTGCCTAACTCTAATCTCTGCCTCTGTTTTTCACACGTTTTCTCCTCGTGTTTCTCTGTCTCACATGGCATTTTCCTTTTCATATAAGGACACCAGTCATAGTGGATGAGGGCCCACTCAAATCCTCATAATTTGATTTCATCAGCAAAGACTTTATTCCCAAATATGGTCACATTCACAGGTATTTGGAGTCAGTACTTCAACATATCCCTCTAAGGCACACAGTTCAGTCTCCAACAGAGGACCCCATTCCTTAACCTTAGCCACTGGGTGTCTGCCACTTTACAGCTATCTATAAAGTTATATTCCACCTGAGATCTTATTTTTGTATTATTCAATGATGAAAAACTTCCCATAAATAATCCAAATTCTACAAAAAAATCTAAGTTATGTTTACTACAAAAGATAATAATAAAACAGTGAATCCATACAATTGATAATTAGTAGTACATCTATTCATGGCCATCCCATCGAGAGATTTCAAAGTTAAGAAAGGAAGACTTTGTTCTTATGGAGCTTACATTCCAGAAAGGAAGATAAAACCTGCAGAAAAATAAATGCAAGTTGAAAATTGGTAAGTGCTTCAATTACAGATAATATGCTTATGAGAAAAGTCTTACTTGGGAGAAAGAGTGCTGCAGAAAAGTGGTAAGCCCCAGAGGACGGAGTCATCTCAATTTCAGGAATGAATATATTAGGAAACTGGATGGCAAAATTGGGTTTTCATAGTTTTATTCACTGGTTTAATATGGTTTTCAAGTTCTTTGTGATCTAATCCTAAATTATAATTAGCAGTGTCACATCTCAGTGCCAAATGCTTTTAAGATTTTGTGTAGAGAATTCAGTTCACACAGCCTGTAGCCTGGAATAACCCCCAATTACTGAAATTCTCCTCATCCTTTAGGAACAAAGTCAAAAGCCTCCTGTACTCCCTGGTTAGAACTAACTACATCAGTAAAAAAGCAATTAATGCCCATTATGGCACACACCACATTCTGCTTTGTATCATCAATTGTGTACACATCCACTTCTACTAACCTGTCATCCCTCTAAGGGCAAAGGTCCATGTCCTACTTTTGCAGCACTTACAGTGTCTAAAACTATACTAGGTACACAGCAGAGAATCAATAAATACTGAATGAATCTTAGTTTGGGGCTATTAAAATAGCAGTACATGGTGACAAAGTAGACCTAGAAGTATTTGAAAAAGTAACACACACATAAATATGAAAATGAACCCTTTCCTATTCTTAATGCTAGGAACCGGCTCTTTCAGGTGTTGGTTTGTACTATCTTCATACATAAAGCATATGGCAAAACTAGGAAGGATCCAGAAAAAGGCAGAATGATTAAATTATGAGTAAGAATGGACTTAGGATACATAGTCTAGAAAATGTATACATTCCTACTCAGTCTTCAGGACTGAGCATACATATGTATGTATTTTCCATCTTCACAGGTACTTAGAAAAAATGAAACCAGTAGAATTCCAGTAAGAGGTAGTTCATTAAAAACAAATGAAGAAAAACAAAAATAAAAATTAAGTAATGACTAATCACATATTTCAAAGATCCCCTGTCTTAAGAAGATAAAAAGCACAAAAGAGATTAAAGACGTTATGAATACATTTATAAAGCAGTTGCATAAAAATGCATAAAATGAAATATCTTTGCATAAACATGAAGTATCTTTTTCTCTTAGAAGTTCATAAAATAAAGTTTAAAAGTGAACATTTCCATATTTTGCTTACCAAATGCTTAACTATGTTACCCAATATTCTCAGTCCAAAAAGTCAAATATATTTCTGGAAAAATGGCATTAGTATAACATGGACACATAAATATCAAAGCAAAAGGGTTTTAAGAAATAGACCCATGTTAATATTTGAAATAACTGGAAATGGTAACATTATTATTTAAATGAAATAATTGCTGAAAATAATGAAATTAATGAAGTCTCCAAAGCTCAGGACAGATTATGTGAATTGGGACAATGTTTTTATTCTTTTTAAAAAATGAACTATGTAAAAACTTTCAAAATTAAACAGCTTTACTATATTTTATTGATACAACTAATTTCATAAGCATCAACTACCAATTTACTACTACACAAGAGAAATCAGAGTCAAAATAATTAAATATTAATGTGAAGAATAATTACAGAAAAGCTTTCACTTCTACTAGTCATCTCTAACAGCATCGCACATACTTTGTACAGTTTGCTTGTAACTGATTAGATATTTGAAATGAAGCAAAGCTGAATTCTAATCAAACTTTCATTTCTCAGTGGAAAATGCTCTCTTCATCAGAGGTGGCTGAGCTTTCCCGACATCAAACATCATTTCCAAAGGTGGGTTATTAAGAGAACACCAATCAGGTATACGGCCTGCCTGGTTATAACATTCCTTTGAGACTGAACGGCTCCCAAGTATGTCTTGCAGTGCTCCAAAAATAGCACCTGTGTGGTAAAAATATTTTTTCAGCTGAGATGAAAACTTACTGGAAAATTTTATGTACACGTACATCCACTGCATTATACAAAAAGAGAGAACAGGTAAAATTCTGTAATGCATATTCACTCTTCAAAATAAAGTTGTTCTATATTCTCCATTTTGAATAATAGAGTAAGCCATAACTCTTGGGTTGAAAATAACTTAAATGGGCTAGATTACAGTGAAAATAAGTATTACTGTGTTTAGATGCAGGTGAGGTAGAGTAGGGTAGAAAGTATTTTCAACTCTGTGTAAATGCAATAAATAACACCCTTAGTTTTCTTGCCACAACTCTAAGATTATATGTGAATAAACAAAACAGAAGTGCAAAACCCAACACGCCAATCATACTATCCTAGAGTCTATGCTGAAGACCTTATGAAGACCCACAAGGCAGTCTCAAAAAAATAATTTTGTAACTAAATCCACCTGTCCTAGATGGAAATACCATTTTGACCAAATGCTACTTTTCAGGAAAGACTTGATTTTTCCCTCTGAATGATCCTGATACCCATTAACTGTAACCGCATCATAAAACATGTATCAGAACTTATACAAATATACACATCCATGATTGTTTTCTCTTCAAAGTAGTCTCTTTATTAGGTTATTTCCATATTTCAATAAAACTATCATTTCCTAAAACATTCAATGAACTCAGTCACAAAATAAAGTGTACTTATAAAATAAGAGATCAATTTTCATATAAGGCTCACAAAGTAGCTTTGGAAGGAATTAAAACGAATGTTTTGAGCAATGGTAGCATAACTGGAATAAATGCACAGCTATCACTATCGCTATTTAGGATGACTTTAATTGGATACAGAAGTTTAAAAAAAATCAAAGTACAAAAGTCAAGAGAAATATGTATATAATTTCAAAACTTAATAATTTAAGGGAAAGTCAATGTTCAAAGAAAATTATTTAATAATTCTATTAGTTTATTAAGTAGGCAATTTTGAACAATGAATCATCTATTCTAATACATTTATTAGTAATGTCATTCAGGAACCAATTACTACATAATCATTATTTTTTAAAAAACTAAATACCTACCTCCCAACCAGGCTACACAATTAGCCTTTGCAGGTGGAGTATGAATTCGGAATGTCTTGGTACCAAGTATTTTTTTATATTTTGGTTTTTCTACCAAATACCTTATCTCTGCAAGTAGTCTGTGGAGAAATCCTGGTAACATAGAGGTACCACCTATGACTACCAAATTCTCTGCTAGTTGCTTCCTGGTGTCTATTGGGCACTGTTATTAAAGACAAATAAAAAAAAAAAGAGTTAAGCTTAACTGTATTAATAATGCTTGACTGAATTTAAGAAAATATACAGATTATATATGACAAATTAAATAGGTGATGATTTTATTACAAGGGCCACAGCAAGGTTTCTTTATCAAGGGAGTTTTTCATGTGGCACATAAATCACTGTAATAATAATATTACCATATACTTATATGGAACTTTAAAGATTTTAAAATCTGATAGTGTAGAATTTTAAATCCCACAGGGCATATAGTAGTAATATGGGAGTATTCTCATTTTCAGGGTAGAATGACTGAATTGAGCCAAGAATATGAGAATAAATAACTTTTCATTTCTTTTTTAGTAAGAAAAATACTTGGAAACCTAATTTTTCTAAGGTACTGTCTTTACAGTATTATATCCAGAGCCAGTTGTTGAGTGGGAAGATAACATTCTTAGAAAAAATATGTTTCCATGTCAGTTCTAAGAATCAGGAATGTTAAAGTCCTTTACTGATGTTATGTTTTTCATAAAAGTCCCCCAGTAGAGCTGTAGAGGTAGATAGTATCTTCCAAAGTGATAGTACTTTACACAGAGTTCTATAATTCCATAGTCATTAAACAAAAGAGACATATTTTGGAATTCTGTGGAATTTAAAATTCAATACTATGCAAACCTGTATTTGAAGAAACTGTAAGCCATACTAGGTATAAAATAAAAATCTGGTATCATTGTTATGGAAAAAGAATGCATGGTTATGTCGACTGAATGTATTACTCCTGGGTTTGAAATGTTGTGGATACCATATCTCAGTGCCAAAACTCAATAATTATAAAATGTAACATAAAAGCTAAAAAAAAATGTAACCAATGGCTAAAATTAAAAATATAGATGATTTGTAAATTTTCTCTAAAGGGCTATAGTCATAAATTGAAACCTTTCACAAAATAAAAATACCTGCATAAGGGAATCCAATATTAAAGTGGCAACTGATTTCTCTTCATTATCTTGTTCAAAAAGAATTTCCACAACTGAGTCTCTAATGAGATTAAAAACAGAGTGCTTTGTTAATATCTCATAATATAATACAGTACACATCATTAGTCCTACCAACATATTTTTAAGTCCCAGTACTATGTTAATACAGAATAATGATTAAAACCCAAAGTGGTCACATTTGTAAACGAGGAGAATAGCAGCACTTGCCTCACAGGTGTGGCAATGAAGACTCAATGAGTTAAGAGAGCAGCACCTGGCACACAGGAGGTACTCCCTAAGTATTAGCTATAACTATTTTTATGTATAGATTTACATATATTTTTTTTCCAGTTATACCACCTTAAACCTAGTAACAGAAAAGGAGCAGAATTCTGTAAAAGTCAGTAGGATTCAACAAGCAGATCAGCAGTGATACAAGAGATTTAAAAACAAACAAGACCCTCCCCTACCCAGCTCAAAGTATTTCTTTGTTTTTAAAAGTACATGGCAAAGACTGTTAGCTGCCTAATAAAGTATTCACTTTCCTATTCGTTCTCAAATTAAAAGAACCCTATTTTTGATAGCACAAAGAAAATCTCTGTTGTGATGAAATAATTCTGTATCTTGATTGTGGTGGTGGTAATTAAGAAAATCTACATATGATAAAATTACACAGTACAATACATACATATTACACCAATGCCAATTTACTGGCTTTGATATTGTACAATATGTAAGATATATCCATTGAGAGAAATAGAGAGAGAGTACATGGGGCATCTCTACATTATCTTTGCAACTTCCTGTGAATCTATAACTATTTGAAAATAAAAAAGATAAAACTCTATTTTTAATCTAGATACAATGCCCCTCACCAGTTGAGACACTATTTACCAGCGTCCCTTGAAGCTAGATGTAGCTAAGTACCAGACAGTGAGACGGGAGGCAAAAGTAGTATGTGGGACTTCTAGAAAGTCTTCTTTAAAAGGAGAGGAAAAAAAAAAAAAAAAAAAAAGGAGAGGAAGTCTTTTTTCCTTTCCCTCCCTGGACTACTTGCTTGAAACATAGATGTAGTAGCTAATCCAGCAACCACCCTGGACCCCAAGGACAAGGACTACACCTCAAAGATGACAGACAGAAAGAAGTTTTGGTCTTTGATGGCAGCTGCCATACCATCCTTAGACTACCTCTGAACTGCTTTTGAATGACAGACAAATTCCATCTTGCTGATGTCACTATTTCCAGGTTTGTTTAAAAGGAAACCAAACTAAATCCTAATCAATGCAATACAAAACTATACATATACATACATTAATTTTTTTAATTGGGATCAAACTATGCATACTACTTTAAAGTTTTTTTGAATCTTTTTCAAAACAAAATTCTCTTCCTGAGACTCAACCTATTTGCTAACTGTCCATTTCATCAGTACAGTGTACTGAGGCCTACAGTATGTGAACACACAGCTAGTCAGCAACTTGCTGCTATGCCTGCACACTTTTGCTTCTACCAGTTGACATGAATGCTTACAAAGCATCAGTTTTCTTTTTCCAAATCTGTCAGTTGATTTGATATTGAAATAACATAATTTTACAATTATTACTTAACCAAAGAAATAAAAGGATGGAAAATAAGTTGTTTTTTTCTATGTGAATTATGTTGAATGATTTAGAAAGAAAAATAATTTTAAAAATCTTTTTAATATAGGTAATACAACTGTAAAACTCTAGGAGGATTCTGTACCAAGACTTTTTCACAAATAATTTGAAGTTCTCACCATACTTAAAAAAAAAAAAACCTAGAAATTATAAATAATTACTGTTTTATGTAAATTTAACGGAAATCTAGAAGCAGACTTATCAAAGAAAAGGTCTTGGAAAAAAGTCTGGCAAATAAATTACTGGTCTGGACTGTATCTAGTTAGAAAATGTCAATGGAACTGGATTTTTTGGTAGGAAAAACATGTTAGCAAACAATTGTATATTAAATTGGTATGGAATGTGAGACACAGTGGTTTTTTATTTCCAATGTATTTTCCTACTGTTATGTAGCCAAAAAGCTCCATATCAGTTGAATTTTCTAAAACAGATTTTCTTCTTGTATTCTGGGCTCCACTAAACAATCAGAAGAAAATTTTAAATAGTAAATTAATGAATACAACTTAAGAGGTAAAATGATAAAAAGTTACTACCAGAAAGTGTTACATTCTCACTTTTCTGTTTTCCCAATCTACTATCTTTAACATCTGTATATTTATATTTATCCTTTTAGTATCTCAACCTTTATATTCATTATCTCAAAATCTAACGGGATCTTCTACATGTACATTCTATTTCTTTTCTGTGTATTTCCGATCTAGTATTTTACAATGAAATTTTTATAGTATAAATTTAATATAGCTTGGGTATAAATAAAAATTACATTGTTACTGATATAACATATAAGTCCTTGAAACTTATATTGTATCATCAGACCAAATAATGAATAATAAAAAGGTGAACTACTAACTTGTCCTAAAAATTTAGCATATTTGGAAGAATGTATTCTTTTTAACAAGACATTTTTTTGCAGGAGTCAGTAAACTATGGCCTACAAGCCAAATCTAGCCCACTATCTGTTTTTTGCAAATAAAGTTTTATTGGAACACAGCCATGCTCACGTATTTACATATTGCCCATGGCTGACTTTGCATTCCAACCGCAGAGCCGAGTAGCTGCAACAGAGACCATATGGCCCCAAAGGCTAAGGTATTTTACCATTTGGTCCTTTACAAAAGTTTGATGAATCCTGTTTTAAGGTATCACACTTTATTCTCTGCCTCAAAGAATGGTTAGTTTCATTACTTAAATTAATTTGAATTACTTTGAAGGACAGAAAAATGCATTATTTTAAAGTTTTAAAATATTAAAAAGTTGAATAATAAAACTAATCATGAATGATGAGGCTTAATGGAAAACACATAATTATTAAATCAGCAATATTAAAGTTTTATACAAATATTTTTAAAGGCCAAAAATTTATTTCAGTTCATTATTTTGCTCATAAAAATTAAAGTCTAACCTGATTGATCCAAGGACATGTAAAATCTTCTCTCCATCTAATGGGTAGTCAACATTTGGGGGTGGTGACGGGCGCTGAAATGTAAGTATCATATGCGTAAGTATGTAGTCATAAACTCCGGAAAAAAATTATATATTTATTTTTAACTTACCTCAGTATTCCCATCAATATTAAATTTCGCTCCTTGAATTTTTAGTCCACGCTTCAGATCACTAACAAAGCAAGTGCGCACTTAAAGAAAGAGACATTGTTATGGTTTGTAATTGAGTCGTTTGAGTTAAAACAATTCTATTCAAGTGGACATGTTAATCATCCGTTCCCTCAGATTTTATAAACTGTCTTTAGTTAGCTTATGATAATTTATTCACAAATAAAATACCTTTTCATTCACTGAGGAACCATAAGACATGCTGCATGTTTGTCTTCCATAAAGCCACATTAAAAAAAAAACCTTTGAGAAAATGAGTATGTTTTTTGGTATTCCTTGTGTAAAGAGTACCACAATAAAAATGAATTTTAGCATCATGAAAATGTACCTCTTCTAACTGAACAGCATGTTTTTTTGAACCAGATTGACATTATATATCTATCTGATTCTTTTTAAAAAATCTTGATTGGTTAGAACACAAAACCACATTTTGGTCTTAGTTGCAGTAACACTCCTCTGTTTAGGGTTTTTTGGCATGATTATTTTCTCCCTCTTGGCACACGTTATCACTTTTTATTTTTTACTTTGAATATTTATCCTTTTAAAGATTATTTCTGTTGCAAAGCACCTTTTACAACAAGCACCTTCAAATTATTTTCAGAAATAGGCAGGAATTAAACATTTTTTCAAGCAGAGACAAAACTGATGTTGAACACAAGAAATCTAATGCTTTGGTTGCTTACTTGCAAAACATGTTAACATAAACTTATATATTTGTTGAGAATCTACAATATGCCAAGGACCTACTATATAGCACAGGAAACTATATTCAATATCTTAACCTATAATGGAAAAGAATCTGAAAAAGAATATATATGTGTATATATACATATAAAACAGATCACTCTGCTGTACACCTGAAACATTGTAAATCAACTATACTTCAATAAAAAAGATCTGCAATATATTAATATGCTAGACAATAATGTAGGTGCTCAAGTTACTTATGTATTTTATACTTTAAGTCCTCATAACTATCTAAGCAAGGTAAACACTTAAGACTTCAACATCTTATATACTTGGCATAGGGAGGTGCCCTTCTTAAAAGAAACCAAATTCACTGAATTAAACATCCAAAAACAGATAAATTACACTTAAGGATTTTAAAATAATTGAAAAAATTTAGGTATTAAACTACATGAGTAACTGATATGAGTGTTTGTCAGTGTGTGTATATATTGCATACTCACTTTTAATAGAAGTGGGTTCCCATTGTACATATTATTCAGCAACAAGTTTTTTCCCCATAATATACTACGGACATCCTCCCAAATCAATACATCTAGCTCCTCCTTTTTAATAGCTATATGGTATTCCTAATTATGAAGTCACCAAATTTTACCCAACATCCCCTCTTAGATGTGATGCACTTTCAGTTTTTACAAATATGCCAGAATGCTTTCCAAAAAGGTTAGTTTTAAATTCTTATTAATAGCAATATATTAAGTTTCCCATAATCTCAGGAATACTGAATGTCTATCTTTACAATTTTGTCAATCTGAGATGTTTCCCTGACCAATAGGAAAGTTAAACATCTTTTCACAAGCTGAAAGCTATATGGGAAAAAACATTCCAAAGAGTTAACAACTATTACATCATAGGGGATAGGAGTGGAAGAAGGGAAGGGCAACTGTTCATTTCATTTGAGATATTTCTGTATTATTTGAGCTACTGCAATAAGCATGTGCAAATGACTGAAATTTTATAATAACCAAAGAAATTTTAGGCAATTATACCACATAACTAAGCAATATAATGAACAAGATCCATTTTGCAGCCTTCGCTCTAACCCTACCTATTGTGTGACACTGAACAAATCATTTAATATTTCAGGGACCCAGTGTACCAGATTATCTCCAGGTCCCATTTAACTCTAAAATCCATTATTGTCTAATTCTCTATTAAATATTCTAGAATATTAATTTTACTTGGCACTCTCAGTACTGAAGAATATTACATTTTAACTGCTTTTCCTTTTAGTGCACCAAAATACCAGAAAACAATTTAAACATTATCATAAAAATACACTCTAACAGAGAAGTAACATATCTTATTAAAGTGCATCTAATATTCTTTCCTCAACAGTAGGATTTCTCAAGTCAGGAAAATGACTTTATAAAAATGTATTTATAAAAGGTATTTTAAAAACTAGAGTTAAAAAAATGCTAAACAACTTAAAATCAGTGGCTTTCATAAGCAATTTAACTGCTAATTCATACTGTGAAAACTGCTAATTCCCTGCTAACTCTGTATATTCTATCATTTAAGTAGTTTCCTCAATAATACATCATAAATAATGCCAAAAGCTTCCATAAATCTGAAGAAAAACAAAAATTTTACTTTCATTATTCCACAGCCTATGTGTTAAATATTTTTAGGGATTACATTATGGATTTAATATATTTTATATCTGTGTAAATACTTAGAAACACATGCCCTCCAAATGAATACTTAATGATGAAGGGAGCAAAAATGGGAACTTAGCTTACCTTTAATATCCTCTAAGACACCTTCTGGAATTGAACCTAAAACAGAAGTTTGATTTAGAACTTACAGAACTTTAATAATAAGCAGAAACAGTCTATTAAATTGCATCCACATTTCCATTTTTCATTTCAGCAAAGTTAAAAAAAATACTATGATTTTTTAGGAGCCAAACAGAAAAATCAACTTTCCTTTTAGGGAAGAAACTTCATCATTCAAAGCCAAGCCAAAGCACAGACGTTGAAGCCAGATGTGTACAAAGTGCTACAGAATGTCAGATACTCATAAATTTGATAAAAACAAGACCTTAAAAATATAGTAGAATAACTAGCATTAGATAGAAATTGACCAAGAAAATCTTTTCTACTGTAAAAAGATTTGTTGGTTATCTTATGCTCAAGTACTTGGAAGAAATGTAGGGCTCAAACATGAGCTATCTACTTTTCTTTTACAAAAAGTGAAGTTTCAAGTTTGCTTATCTTTCCTGTGATAATAAATGACTGTCAGTGACATGCTAACCTAATACGTATTTGTAAAAAGGATCACACACAGACTTAATTTTTTCTTCACAGTGAAGGTGACATTTATCTATTCAAAGAAACCTACATACTACAGGAAGACTTTGGAAGATGGATGTTTGGATATTTTACCATGTTACGTGATTTTGTTGTCAACAAATCTAGTTTTCTGAGTCAGACTCAGAAACAAAATTTTAAATTTAATCTAAATTTAAAATCTTCTAAACTTGGAATTTTTAACCCACTGTTAAGTATGTAAAAATATTACAAGAACAGATTATTTACATCAAGGAAGATAGAAATGTATAGCTACTAAAGGAATCATGATTTAATAAGGGTAATCAGGTACTTCTTCCATCTGGATCTACACATCTTGTCAGCTATATCTTTAAGTTATGACAGCCAATGAAACTAAGAATTAAAATAAACTTAAAAACTACACCTTCAAAATCTAAGGCTATAACCTTTACTAAATAATAAACAATATTTAGTCACATTGCTTTTTTGTGAGGAAGCAAAAAATTTTACCATTAGTAAATATGACTTTAGAATTATTATTTTACATTTACTATACTGCCTTTTTCAAATTCTTCCTATGGTGTTTCATAACACACTAATAATGATACATATATAGTTCATAAATAAATATAAATATAACTATGTAGTGAAGGTACATACTCAACATTTTTTTACTGATGGGGCCAGTCTGTAATCAAAAAGTTTGAAGACTCCTGTCGTTAAATGTTAAACTTTATCTCACAGGAGGATATAAAGATTTCCAAAACTGGCTTTAAGTCTGGCTACAAACAGATGAGAGAAATGTAACTAGATTATAAGAACCTACAGTTTAAGAATAAGTGCTAAAAACCATAACATTTCACATCTGCTATACTCTCTAGGAATATTCAAATAAATTCCTACATGTGCCAAAGACATTTGGTAATCTGAAAGCAGTTTTCTTTAGGCAACATGGAAAGCAAGCTTGAAAATAAAGGGCTTATTTTAGCTAGGAGTAGATGCTGCTTTGGGAAAGGGCTTCTCAATCTTAGTGAATGATCACAGCCCATTTAAACTCTGCAAACGAGGAGAAGAAAGAGCAATGCCAATGGCTCTGACTTTGAAAAATCGTATTTAAATTTCAGTTAATTTAGGAGAATAAGAAGTATAATATTTTGTATATACTTTACATTTAAATTGTGCACTTTTCAAATCAATGTACTTAGGGTAGTCTTCATAAGTTGGTATACTCATTCTTTTTTGAACTAGGTTCTAAATACTAATTGAAAGAGGCTCATTCAGAGTTCACTTCAGGACACCTAAGTCTATGTAAGACCTGTATCTAATCTTTGCTAAGGAAACTTGACAAGAGATACTTTACGTGTATCTGCATTTCTGATTCTCCTAAACAGATCCTTCAGCAAACAGTGGTATGATTTAATTCCTCAACTAGTAGGACTGCAACACTAACTATTGCAGACTCAGATCTGGGGGCATATGAGAGGGAAAGACTAGAATCAGAGTGCAAAATGGTTGGTTAAAGAAAGGGTGTTCAAGAACATACAGTTCAGAATTTTAAGGAAATGTCAGGGTCAGTTTTAAAGAAGACCTTTATTAAAACTGCCTTGGGCTTTTTCCTCCCTTGGATCGGCCCACCTCCTGTTCTTGGAGGTGTATTTTTCCTTTTCTAAATAAATCTTTTAAAATTCTTCACTACACAATGCACTGTCTCCCAACTGTAGACTTATCTTTCGTGTATGACAAGAACTGAGGTCTTTACCTTTTGGGGTAACATTTTTTGGTGCCGTGACTTGGACTGTGGTTAGTACTTTGCGTGGTGGCCACAGCAACCTTGGATTTCCCCATTCTCCCTCTTAGTTTACTTTTCTATATTCTAACCTAATCTCTCCTCCCTCTCTCCCTCTCCCTCAAAAAGAAGAAAGAAAAAAAAAATGTTGGGATGCTACACTAAACTAATTATCTTTGGATATCTTTTATAAACTGTCATCATGATACCTAAAAAGGTAACAGAGTTTATCTGGAATAGAAAAATAGCAATCTGATCTACAATGAAGAATGCTATTATCTTAACTACTTAAAGAACCACAGAAAAACACTATATGCAAGGATAAATGTCCTTAAAAACCCACCTTTCTCTTTGCAACATTTATTCAGACTATACTAGGTGCTATACTAGGTGCTACAGATTGAGAAATAAATAAGACAGGGATTTCCAAAGGCTAACGAAGGAAACAAGTTAACAGACAAATGAGACTATGTCATATGTGCTATAATAAATACTGCTGAGGGTGTAACAGAGAGGGAAGCAATTTATTCTGCTTAGGGAAAATGAGGAAGGCTTCACAATTAAGATGACATTCTGGCTCAGTCATATAGAGGGATCAAAAACCTAAACAGGTAAAGAAAAATATCCCAGGTAAAGAAATAGTATAAATGAAGGCAGAGGACTGTGGAAGAACTACAGTGCAAGGACTATGGCCTAGAAGACCGTATGAAACTTACTGTAGCTGAAGTAAGGTGCAAAGGGCTGAGTTTAGTAGTCAAATCTAAGAGGTAGAGTAAAGTTGGATTGTGAAGAAACATGTATATCAAACAGATAATTTGAATTTTAACCTGTGGGGGTCAGCAAAAATTCTCAAGCAAAAGAGCAATGTAATCAGATTTGTTTTCTGAAAGTTATTCTTGGCAACAGTGTGAATTAGACTGGATCAGTCCAAAGAGTAGGCTCCTATAATAACGCAAGCAAGAAGCAATGAGGGACTAGTTTGCAATGTCTTTTTTTTTCAGATGATAGAAAAAAAGAGATGTTGTGGATGACAGAAAAAAAGAGACGAAAAAGAGATTTCTGAGGGAGAACTGAAAGGATTGATAAACTCCCATTTTCTAAAATAGAATGTAAGGAAGATGTTATCTTTATCTAACAATGATTTTTTTTTAATTATTTTATTTTGGTGGTGGTGGGGAGGTAATTAGGTTTGTTTATTTTTAGAGGAGGTACTGGGGATGGAACCCAGGACCTTATGCATGCTAAGCATGCGCTCTACCACTGAGCTATACCCTCCCCTCTCTAATGATTTGTTGAAACAAATCTAGGGGAGGAGATAATGTTTACTTTTGGAAGTCTTAAGTTTGAGGTGCCTAGAGGTATGCCTAGTTTATATCTAAGAATCAGCTGGATATAAGAAGTTTAGAAAAACGGTCAGGCCCAGTGATACACTTGAGCATCAACAGCATAGAGATATAGCAGAAGTTATGGGAACAGAAGAGATCACTTTTAGAAAGCCAGTAGGAAGAAAAAGGAACAAAAAACAAATTCCTAGAAGAGTAACAGCAAAGAAAGTAAGAGCAGAGGAAACTAAGAAGGAATACTTGGAGAAATTAGAGGATACCAGAGAACACCATAAAGGTGAGTCCTGAAAGCCAAGGAAAGAGACAATATCAAGAGTATATGATAATCCACAATGTCAGAAGTTCTAAAAACAACGATTAAAATTCACCTATTGGATTTGGTGATTAATAGCTCAATGATGACTTTATAATTGAAGCCATGACATTAGAGTGATGTGGGGAAGAGAATAACTATGCAACAGAGCACAAAAAAAAAATGAGCTGAAGAATGAAAAAGGAACGCAAAACCACTGTTAAATAGTTTAAAATGAGTTTACCCATCACAGAGGGAAGGCTCTGTTCTTTAGCAGCACTGGTGTCAACAGTACATTGTTCCAACAGTTGAGTTTCCAACTCTCTGAAGATAAAAAAAAAGTTACTGGAATTAAAATCTTACAGCTGATATGCTTTTCTTATTTAATACTTTTGCTTCATAACATATCATGATACTTTAAATAAAAGTAGTTTTACCCTCAAAAGATGAATATAACTCAAGGCTAATGAAGAATGGAGTAAATAACACTGAATGTCCATATTACAACCCTCTATTGATCACTGTCAAAAAATTAGCATCTGTTTTTGTGGCATAAGTGAGGCAAATGTGCTAAATGCCAAGAAACTTACTTGTGAAGTGCTCTTCCTCCAAGGGGGAGTGCTCCCCAACAATTTAGTACTGGGATTCCTTCATATATCTACAAGGTAGTCAAGGATATTACTATTTTAGGAGATAAAATGTGTTTTCCTCAATATTTTCCTCACCTCTGCACTACTGTTCTAAATCAGCTTGGATGCCAAAGTTTTATTTCTTATTTTTAGAAGAGTTACAGAAAAATCAGTCTTTTTTTATATTCTTCTCCAACGAAAACAGTTAAACATACACACACAGAGAATTCATTAGTTAGAGCTAGGCTGTCCAATAAAGTAGCCACTGTGCACTTGAAATGTGGCTGATCTGAATTGAGATGCACTGTAAGAATAAACTATATAGCAAATTTAGATAATATAAAAAACCCTGTAAAACATCCCTAATTTTTTATGTTGATTATATATTGAAATGATAATATCTTAAATATATTGGGCTAAATAAAATATACTACTAATTTCAGCTCTTTCATTTGTACTTTCAAAACTGTAGTGCCTAGAAAAATTTTAAATTACATGTATGTCTCACACTGTGTTTTTATTAGAGATAACAGGATAGTGGACAATATTGTACTGTGAGTTTGCTACGTTACTTTACATATTTCTTGCTGATGTTTTTTAAGTACAATATTTATGAAAAGGAAAAAAGTATATTAGTAAGAGCATTGGCTTTGGAGACAAAGACAGGTTTATATATTGGCCGTATGCTTCTACGATCTTGGGTCAACTACCTATCTCAACTTTCAACAATCTTATTTACATAATGAGGAGAATAATACCTATGTTGCAGGGTTGTTATGAGACTTATACATAAAATACTTTATATTTAAAAAGTTATTGCCTAACTTAGTTCCTTAGGAGCTAATGATTCTTGACTTCCTTCCCATGAGTATTTCTTCTAATAAAGTAACACGCAGATCTCAAAAACTGCAAGTCATGCATTTATGTACTTTAACCTCCTTTTCAAATGCAGCAAATGTCCACTATAACATTTCTAAGAGACACTGACCTATCCTCTGCTTAAATTCTTCTAATGACAAGGAATGTACCAGTTTATGGTCAGTAATTTCATTTGGGGACAGTTTAAATTACTAGAGTTCTTCCCAATAGCAAATATAAAAACTGAGCAAGTTACTATGTGCCATACTTTACATACATTACATGACTCACTCAAGTCACACAATGTCCCTATGAAGTGGAATTAATTTAATCCCACTTTATAAATGAGGAAATGAGGCCAAAAGAGATTAAGCTATTTGACCAGTATCATACAACTAGCGAGAAGCATAGCTGAGATTTACATGTATGTGTGTATTTGATTCCAAAACCCAAACTCATAAACCCTATGTCATTCTGTATCCATGACAGCCTTAGGAGATAGAAAAAATATGTATTCACTTTTCCACAATGAGCCCTTCAGCTATTTGAAGGCAGCTTTCATGTCCCAAATAAGTTTTAATTTTTCTTGGTTTAACTTTCTCATTTCAGTTTCTCCTAATTATTCTTCGCATGATCTCTTCTTAGAACTTGACTATCCTAGTCAACTTCTTTAACACATCCTAATTAGCTGATGTTCCTCTTAAAAACTGAACATAATAGTCACAAGGTCTGATCTCTGGAGTATACACTGGGACCAAGTCATATAACAATTTCTACAAAAAATAAATTTAAGTCTCACAATCCTATGAATTTTTTCCACATATCTCACATTTGTACATGATAACCCAAAATAGTTTGATTCAATAAAAACTATCTGTAATAAGCCTAATTATTTTAAAGTAGAGTAAAAACTGCCAAATTAGCTGGTTCACAAAAAAGATACAGGTAACACCAGGCTTTCCCTATATCCACAATCCAGGACCATGGCAGAGTTTATCCCAAGTGTAAGAAGAGCCATTAGATGACTTGGAGCAAGCAGGACAGATGGAACCTAGAAAATAACAAATCCAAAACAACAATAGCAACAATAAAACCAGGATGAATGTTAGTAGTTGAAGGTATTCTCTTACATTTCAAATATATTTGAAAAAATTCATAGTTATATTACAGTACCTATTCAACCATTTTATGGCACTTAATTAAGAACTAGTTTGTTGATTTATTTGAATATACACAATAATCGAAATATAATACAATAAATAAAAACACTCTTTAAATTCTCTAAGTTGTTTCACTCTGAAATGACATTATGAAGCACTTTTATTAATTCAGTTCTCTCTCTTTTGGAGAGATTCTTGATTGTCTTTATTCATACAGTTTATATTATGAACTACATTTTTAAAACATTACAATATAGTAGTTAACATTAAACTGAAGAACCACAAAAATCAACAAAATAGGTACCTCAAAATACTTGAAAAGAACACGAGCAAGTGTCTCTCTGAAATGGGAAGGACACAATACCGACTCAATAACCACAACTCTGCGGTCTCTGGGATTCACCAACAGATGCCTGAAAAGTGATGGTTTTGTTTTTAAAAGTAAATAAAAGTTTGTACTTATATTGGTACATAATGCAACTTGTCAAGATTAGAGAAATCATACCACCTTCGCTTAAGAAATTTTATGACAAAATGACATCTTTATCATCCAGAAAAGATAGCTAAAACAAAATTTTTTAATGTTTTTAAAGTTTTTACACAATTTTAAAAGGCTACTTCCCATTTACAGTTATTATAAAATACTGGCTATATTCCCCGTGTTGTACATCCTAGAGCCTATTTTACACCCAACTGTTTGTGCCTCTCATGCCCCAACCCCTATATTGCCTCCCCCCACCCACTGGTAACCTCTAGTTTGTTCTCTGTATCTGAGTCTGCTTCTTTTTTCATATTTGGTAGTTTGTTGCATTTTTTTAGATTCCAATTATAAGCCATATCATACAGTATTTGTCTTTCTCTGTCTGGCTTACTTCAGTTAGCATAACCCGTTCTAAGTCCATCCATGTTGCTGCAAGGGGCAAAATTTTGTTCTTTTTATGGCTGAGTAGTATTCCGTTGTGTATGTATATACCACAGAGAGACAATGTTTTTGACCTCTTACCATGTGCCATGCACTGTGTCAGGAAATTTATATCTATTAACTCAATTATCTCAGAAAACAAAAACTACAGCCTATCATGAATACTAACTTGAGCCATTAAAAAGATATTTTCTTTTTTTAGGCTACAAAAGTAGTGTATGCTCACAAGACTCCAAATATTATAGAAGTTTATAACTTGGAAAACATAAAAATATCTTACATTTCTGCTATCCAGAAACTACTACTTAGAGTAGTTTGTGTATCTTCATTATTGTGTAATACATGCATACATTTTAACAGAAATACTCATTCCATGGATGTTGTTCTGCAACTTGTGTTTTTTAAATTATCAAAATATCAAAATAACTAAATAAATAATCATAATATCTAAGACATTTTTCTGTATCAGTACATACAGATAAAGAAATCTTCTTAAATGACAATATATTGTTTTCTTATATGGATGTACAATAATTAAATTATCCAATTCCCTTTATTAATGGACATTTGATTTGTTTCCAGTATTTTCTTATGCTTGCCAGTTTTCTAGTCTTCAAATACATTTTGAAAAGACTGAAAATAAGAAAGTTAAAATGGCAATGACCGTTAACCTCTTTTTTTTGTCATTAGAAATAATACAACCAAATACAACCTAACGATGGGCATTAGGAAAAGCTGGGGAGAAAAACACAATTGCATTTTACCTGAAATACAGGATGTGGATGAATTCCTTGAGGTAGGAATATAATTCTTCTGTATTGATATTATATTGTACAACTTTGATAGGCTATAAGAAATTTAAATGATTTATTAATTTACAATAATAAAATAATCTCAAATTAAAACACGCTTTAATTACTAATGGATTTTCTGGTAGTCAATCAAAAGCAATTTGAATTTAGAGTAGATGCAAACATTAAAATAAATTAATCACTTAAATTAGAAATCTTCAAGAACTGGTATGTCCAAGATGATGAAATGTTTTGGTTTATGGGGATAAAGGTGTGTCCATAGTAAGTAAAGAGCTGTGTTCATCACATTTTTCTTCCATCTGACATCATTTGGCAGCACTGATAAAAATCAGCATCGATTAAAAAGCTTCAAAGGCTTCCTCAAATACTGCAGACCTGGTTCAGTCCGTGTTACTCACTCCCAAAGCACTGACACTTTCCCTTTTGTAGTATCACCCCACTTAATTACTCGTAAAATGTCTACTTTCCCATTAGACTACAAGCTCCACAGGGCAAGAACTATTTCTGGCTTGCTTATAATATATCCTCCTTCAATTGATACAGTGTCAGGCACCAAGTACATAGCTCATAAGTATGTGTAGCAAAAATGAAAACATGCAGCATTAGCACTTAAACAGTATATGCAAACGCTAATGAACTATGGGTGCCACAGTCAACACTAATACATCATAAGAGTTTCATTTACTGTACTCTGCTCCAACATTTGCTTTTATGAAACGAAACATGTTCATATTTGTTAAATAAGGGAATGACGTCCTTATTATATGAAGGTTGTAGAGTTCATATTAGGTGAAAGGAGCTGAAATTATGATAGCAGGTTATAACCATTATTGACTCAGTGGCCAAAAATAGGCATTCTCTCAGACCTATTTTTAAAAAGTTTAAATGATCTTGTGTACCAGGGGCTCCAGTACCAGAGTGGACCCATACAAGACTCTTTATCAGGCTGCATATCCTCCTGGTCCTACCTTAACAACAGCCCAAGGGACTTAGAGCTCACTTTTGTCTGCACTGTCACAGTAACCACTAAGCAATGGTTTCAATTATTTCATTTGATTGTAAATGTCCCTGAGAGAGCCTCCAGCCACAGTTAGTCACACCTCAAAACTATTCTAATTTTTTTTTCCGAAGGTATTAATTTTTGTTTTTGCTACTGCTCGGATTACAAAGTTCAAATGGTTTTATGTGGTCTGCTCCAACCCTATTTTTCCCAAAAACCTTTTTTTGTTTGTGATCTAAAAGAGGTTTTTCAGGAATGCAAATACTAAGTTATGATAGAAAAATCTATATTTGATTTTAACAGGTGAATTTTGTGCCATGCAAAAATATTCTTTCTATTGTTCTACAATTCCTAATCTGCCAAATGAGCTCTGGCAAGAAACTTTTCTTTAAAAAAATTTGTTTTTCACAGGTCTTCTGAATTACAGATAAAGAAATGATGACCTGGCTTATACTTTAAACAGGGTAAGAATAAAGTGATGCTATAATTACATTACAAGACTTATGTAATTATTATACTAAGGTTAAAAGCTTTTTCTTAAAATTACATAATTCCATTTATATAAATTGTATAGAAAAGGCAAATTTACAGAGACAGAAAGAACATCAGTGGTGGGCTGAGGGTGGGACATGGGATTAACAAACAGGCATTAGAAATCTTATTGTGATAAAAAAAAGTTCTAAAACTGGACTATGGTGATGGTTGCACAACTAGATATATTTACTAAAAATCACTGAATTGTACACCTTAAACAGGTAAATTTTCTGGTATGCAAAATTAAACCTAAACAAAGATTCAAAATAGTTTTCTTGGACTATGATCATAAGCTATATATTTAGTACTGTTCTAATCAATCTTACTTAAAGTCACATTTTAAAATATTTTACATTATGGCATTTATTTTGCTAATTTGTTAAAAAATAATACCTTAGGCATGCCAGCTTTTTTTATCACACTAGGAATTATGCATCTTGGACCAGTTTCTCCTGCAAATCCACACCTGCAAATAAATAGAAAATTGAAATATTCAACTTACTATAACATTCTTTCTGTATATTTTTCATAGAACAACTTTTTCTGTATTTGTTTCTAAGCAGTGGTCACAAAACATCTAGAAACATCCCTGATGCGTTCAAAGGGACAAAAAAAAACCTTAGGAAAAGTTAATACCGTCTATTCATAATTGTGTATAAAGGTAAAAAATAAAATAGTCTCAAATTAACGACAGTAAAATCAATGAATTATTTTAGGGTAGCCTTTACTTTTTTTTTTTCTTTCAGTTTTTAATTTTACTTAAATTTTAGGTAGCACATCTCTACAACCCTGGATCTATATTCCATTATGTGACTTCATTCCTATAATTCATGTTACTCATAATTCCATCATTCTAATATTATTAGTTTCACATTGTTGTGTTTCTTTTGGTCTATTTTTTAAACTATGCATATTTGACATAATTATAATCACACAATTCATACATCATGAACTCATACAATAAGCTTCTGCCCATATTATTAATATAGTCTTCGTTCTATCATTTTTTAAATTGCATAATATTTCACCGTTTTTTTAAAACTATTCTCCTGAGTATTTAAGCATTTCCAATTCTGTTTCATGTAAAATAAAACTTTGCTAAAGAGTTGCTAAAAAGGACTACAGTGTAAGTTTATCCTTTTTTTCCCCCCACACTGGGAGACTTAATTTCATTGTTTTAATCAAAACATTCCACGACGGATTGCCTTAAATAATTTCTGAGGCCTCACTGATACGATACTTATATGGGAGGGGAGGCCCATTACCTTGTGCCACAAAACGGTTTGGTATAACTAATGACATGCAAACACAATTTGCAAAAGCAGAGCATTATCACAATATAATATGAAAAAGGTTGGTTGAGGAAATAGATTTCACATTCAGCAAATAGATTCCACAAGTTTATTCTTAACATTCTCTCTTCTTGTCTTCCTGGTTTTCAGTACTGATCTCCTCCTATTCCCAAATAGCTCTCTCCATCTTCTATTAGTCACATCTCCATGTTTACTTGTACCAGTGCTCCTCAAATTCCCCAGGATGCAACCCACCGGTTGGCTGCATAAATTCATCTTATCACCCTCCTGTTGTCTTTGTCAATAATTATCCTCCTATATAGTAATTTTCCACTTCTCATTTCCTCAGCATATTCAAGTAATTACCTTTGGGTGTCAGCTTCAAGGTAATTCTATGATGCTATTAAAATAAACCTTTAAAAATAAATAGGAAAATATAAATATGGGAGTATCTTGCATAGAACAGTAAGAGGATGTCAGGAACCAAAGACTATGTTTTATCCAATTCTCGATCACCTGAAGTCCAATTATTAAACAGGCTCTTCTGACTATTTCCTCAACAAATAGTTATTAAATACATACTATGTGTTCAGCACTGTTCAGAAATACATAACAAATTTTCAAATGTTTCCATTTCAGACATGTAAGACGCAATTCTGTCACTCTCCTTCCTGAACTCAGTACAAGGGCTCTCAATCTGGAGTCCAAAAACCACTGTGCTGATTCACCAACCTTCGAAATTGTGTGCAGGTATTTTAAGGGTTGTGTGGCTTTCATTTCATTTGTGGCTTTCATTCGGTCGTCAAAGGGATTTCTGCCATCTGAAAAGCTGAGAGCCACTACTCCAGTGTTTACAAATTGCCTTTTAAAATATGTTAAATTTCCTAATCGAAGAGTTGGAGGTGGGAGGAGGGTGGTGCAGCAAAAGACCTCTGGAGTCTTTTGTTTATAGGGTTTCACTTCTTTATGCGTTCAGTCTCCCTCACTCGATTTCCTACTCTTGGAAAGCAATAGACCTGTCTTACACATATTTGAACTTCCAGCACTAACAGAAGCTCTGTTCACTAAAATTTAATAATGAAGGTTGTCATCAAGTATTACAGTTCGGCCGCCCCTTCCTCAGCAGACAAGCCTAGGGTAAGCGGGGTCTCGGTTCGCTGTCATCCCCTGCATGGATGACCCCGAAGGGTCCGTGCAGTTTGGGGTGATGACCCAGGGCGGCAACAAAGGCAATTCTCCTGAAGCCTCCCGGGCCTCTCCAGGAATCAGAACCAGACCCGAGGGAAGCAAAGGAGACGTAAAATGCCGCTCCTAGAGCCTGCGATGAGGGCCCGGGCTGGGCCTGGGGCTCGGCTACCCGCCCTCCCCTACGGGACGACCGCAGCCAGCGCTGCGGCCACTCACTTGGTAAAAGCCTCTCCCAGGTCTATCACGACCGCCGTTTTCTCGCCGCCGCTCCCCAGGCCTTCGTACAGCGGCATGGTAGTAAATACGCCGGTAAGAAGGAGGGCGCGGACTCGGCGGCCAAAAAGAGCTCAGCTCTCGGGGGGCGGGGCCAGAGCGACGGCGCTCGAGCCGCGGCGAC